ATAAGTATATTAGTAGATGTGAGAAAATTTTTATATTTCAAAACTAAATTTTAAAATCAATTTAATTATATTAAATTTATATCATAATTAAATATATATGTTTTCATACTTTGTAGTCCAACTTTGTAAAATATGACTAAAAAGTCAAAAGGGGAAAATTAGAAAATAGTATATATCCAAAATATATTTGATCCGAAACCGAAATATATCCGAACCTAACTAGACCCGAAACCGAAATATATCCGACTCAAATTGTATCCGAACCGAAATCTATCCGAACCGATTTATAACCGAACCGTATCTGAACCGACTCGAAACCGAACCGAACTGAAAAATGTATAGAACCGAAATCAAATCTGAACCGAAATTTAACCGATCCGAACCGAACCGTTTATAACATATAACCGAAAGATATCCGAACCGAAAAAATCCAACCCGAAACCGATCCGGTTGATCCGATTGCCACCTCTAGCCGTAAGCCCGTAACTACAATAAGTACCAAGCAAGGTTGGGCCAGCTTCTGGGTAAACACGCCCCAATTTCCTCTTCACTCCCAACCATTCTCACACGGGTTTACCCCAGATGGTAGGGGTGTTCAAAAATATTTGATCCGAAAAATCTGTCCATGATTCGGGCATATTCGATCCAAAAAATGGATATCCGATCCGATATTTTGGCTTGTAGATATTTCGGATCAGATATCCTAAAAAAATCAGATTGAATGTGGATTCAATTTCTGGAATTTTTCAGATAATCGGGTATCTAATTTTTTTTTTGCTATATGTTTAATGGAATTTATGGATATATATTATGGGTATATGTTTAATGCAATTTTATGTTGATTTTGGAACTCAAACATTTTGGACTTTTTGCATTAGCATTTTAAAACTTTTTGTTTTAATAGTAATTTTTTTTGTTTGTTTAGGCAAAATTACCAAAGTTACTCCCAAATTAAATTTGGTATCAATTTTTTATTAGGCCATTATCTTGTGGTGAAATTTTTCTCTTAGTAAATCTATATTGAATTTGATATTGTGG